TAATGTCCGACATCGAGTCCATGTACTACCAAGTCAAAGTTGATTCTGATGACATTGATGCACTGAGGTTCTTATGGTACCCCAACAATGATATAAGTCAAGACCCTGTGGAGTATAGGATGTTAGTACACCCCTTTGGAGGATTCTGGAGTGCTAGTTGTGCTAATTACGCCCTGCGTCGTACCGCGATGGATAATGCCAAGGACTTTGACATTGATGTGATTAAGATCGTTGAGAGGAACGTCTATGTCGACGATTGTTTAAAGAGTGTTGAATCTGAAGATGTAGCAATCAAATTAAGTCAAGATCTTACAAGTTTGTTGGCACGTGGTGGATTTCGTCTCACCAAATGGCTCAGTAATAGTAGAAAGGTTATTGATTCCATCCCTGCGCAGGAACGAGCCAAGGAAGTAAAAGACCTGGATCTCACTCGAGATGAATTGCCGATTGAAAGAGCCCTGGGTGTAAAATGGGACATGGAAAAGGACAAATTCGTCGTGCAGCTCAAGCCTAAAGTCAAACCAGCTACAAGAAGAGGTATTCTTAGCGTGGTATCGTCTGTTTATGATCCATTGGGTTTCCTCTGTCCATTTATCCTCTCAGCCAAGTCGATACTGCGAGATTTGTATTCGTTGGGTTGGGATGAACCTATACCTGTTGCTCACTTAGCTAGATGGAACCAATGGATGAGTGACATACCGAAGTTAGAAGAATTCTCACTGGATTGATGTTTCAAACCCCCAGGATTTGGAAGTGTAGTGGACGCCCAGTTACACCACTTTGCTGACGCATCAGAAACTGGAGACATTAATTGTAGTTTTGTCATTGGAAAGTCACGTATCGCGCCCTTGAAGAAGATATCGATTCCTCGATTAGAACTGTCTGCAGCGACACTGGCAGTGCGTCTAGACCAGATGATATCCAGAGAAGTTGATGTCAAAGTGGACCGATCCATCTTCTGGACTGACAGTACAGCGGTGCTGGGGTACATCAACAATAACAACAAGCGTTACAAGACCTTTGTAGCTAACCGGTTAAGCTTTATACACGATGGTTCAACTCCAGAGTGCTGGAAGCACATCGAAGGTAAATTGAATCCGGCTGACATAGCATCTAGAGGGGCTCCAGTGGCCCTGATTTTCTATGGACTGCTGAGCAATTCTGGCCAACACAAATCGACACAAGAGGAAGTATTTCTGAAGACGATCCGGAGATTAAAGTCAAATCTGTTTTTCACTCCAGTATTGACCAAGGTGCAACAGAGACCCTAAACAAGATTTTTAGCCAGTTCTCTTCATGGTTCAAGCTGAAGAAGGTCATTGCATGGCTCTTGCGCTACAAAAGTTGGATTATGTTCAGAGTCAAAGGAAAACTTAAAGTGGATGAGATGAAACAAGCTGAACGCGAGATAGTAGCATGCATACAAAGACAAAACTTCCAAGCTAAAATGGATGTTATTTCAACTAGTAAAGCAACGGGAAAGATCTCAAGTGTAAAAAGTTCAAGTACCATCTTCAAGTTGAGTCCCATTATGCGTGATGGCTTATTGTGTGTTGGTGGCCGTCTTGGAAATTCCCAGCTTAGTTTAAGCGCAAGACACCCTGTAATATTACCAAGGAATCACCCAGTTGTTAGTCTTCTAATAAGGCATTACCACATTGTTTCGGGTCATTCTGGACAGGAACATGTGCTGTCGTTGATAAGAGAGAAGTTCTGGATAATCCGGGGAAGAGTGCGAAAGGTCTTAAGAAGTTGCTTTGATTGCAGAAGACGACAAAACAGACCAGAACAGCAGGTGATGTCTGATCTGCCTTCAGACAGAGTAACACCAGATAAACCACCCTTCACATTCACCGCAGTCGATTACTTTGGACCATTTCTAGTTAAGCGTGGAAAAGATCCTACGTAAAGCGCTATGGGGTCCTGTTCACGTGTTTAGCGATCCGAGCTATTCATATTGAAATTGCCCATAGTATGGATACCTCATCTTTCATCAGTGCTTTACGACGATTCATCTCTAGAAGAGGCATGCCACAGGTAATGCGATCAGATAATGGGGGAAACTTCAAAGCCGGAGAGAAAGAGATTAGACAATGTATCGAAGAATGGAACAATGAACAGATAGACGACTTCATGCTCCAAAGAAACATCTGCTGGAAGTTCAACACACCACTTGCATCGCATATGGGAGGAGTGTGGGAAAGGTGCATACGTACTGTGAGAAAGGTTCTACTGGCACTACTCAAAGAACAAGTGATGGACGATGAGGGACTCTCGACCTTGATGTGTGAGGTTGAAGCAATAGTAAATAGCCTGCCTTTAACCAAGGTATCTGAAGATCCTGACGATCTAGAAGCACTAACGCCATACCATCTGCTTCAGCTTAGAAAAGGCCCTAATCTATCCCCTGGAAGATTCCAAGCCCACGATAGCTACAGCATTAAAAGATGGAAACACGTCCAATACATGGCCGATATATTCTGGCGTCGTTGGACCAAAGAATACTTACCATCTCTACAGCAGAGAACCAAATGGCAAAAGCCTGAAAGAAACTTGAAGACTGGTGATCTAGTACTGTTGGTTGACGAGCTGAGCCCCAGATGCTCCTGGACCATGGGGAGAGTATTGGAAACAGTGCAAGGAAAAGACAACAAAGTGCGCCAAGTAAAGCTCAAGACATCCAAGAATGCAATCATTTCCAGGCCCATTCACAAGTTGTGTGTATTGGAAGAAGTTTAGATTATGAACACTTATTCGTAATAGACTCATAAGACATTGTTTTTGATAACATTAAGGTCGCAGTGTTCGCCCCCTTGGGGTGGGGTGTGTTATGTACTTTCGTCCCTTGTGTGTGTAATTAGAATTTTGTTAATCTTGTTTTGTACTTTGTTTAGCTTAGCCTTTTGTCCTTTTATAAACTTTATAATGTATTCAGGTTTTTCAGTATTTATTTTGTATATCGCATAAATTTAGTTAGTAGCCATTCGCTTAGCGCAAGCTAGGCCGTTTCGCAGTATTTGGCTGCCGTAAAACCGATTTCTTGTACCCACAAATGTATTCGTAAGTATTGTCATTTAGTCTTGAGTGTAATCGTTCGTTTAAGTCATAGTATTTGTTTATAGTTAATATGTAATGTTGTTCTTTAGGAACTAGAATAAAATCTACGTTCGGATATATCCGTATTGGCTACCCAATACCCTATAAACAAGCAGGAGTGCTTTATTGGGTTTAAAACCATGAGTTGTACAATTTTAGAGAATATTAAGTAAATGTGATTAACTGACATTATTGTCCTTGTGCATGTGCCTTTTTGCATTGACGTTGAAAATCAGATGTTACTCATTATTTTGTTTAACTTGCAGAATCCTTTGAAGTCCTAAAGTCAGCGTTCAAGAATAAGGGAAACCTTATCAGTTTTTTTAAAGACGAGACGATGCGAACCAGTTTCGTAGACAAAGCTAAAGAAATAGCAAACTAGATTTTAGTGAGGCCATTTTATATATTTTTTATTTTATCTAGGCTTGTACACTTAATTGCAAGTACTTTGTTTACAAAAAATAAAAATGGAGTTAATGAAAAGACAAAGGAAAGTCATTTAAGCTGAACTGGATCTTTTGTCTTTAATTATTCCAATTACTTTTTTATTGTTTATTTTTCATAAACAATGTTCTTGCAACTAGCTGAGCACTTTCTGTGGTATTCTGCTCAAGTGTAACTGATAATAACCAGTAATAAGTAAGTATATTTTTATCAATCTAAAAAAGTATTTTTTTCCACAAGCCAAAAGTTACACAGCAATTACCGTGTAACTTTTTAGAGGTAAAATTCGCCAGTCACCTAGTATATTTTACCACAAGCCAAAGTTACACAGCAATTACCGTGTAACTTTTTAGAGGTAAAATTCACCAATCACTTAGTATTTTTTACCACAAGCCAAAAGTTACACAGCAATTACCTTGTAACTTTTTAAAGGTAAAGTCAGGTAAAATTATGTAATATTTTATACAAAATGTTTGACTAGAGAAGTTCAGGCTCCATTAGGCAATTACTTACCACATTTTGGCAGGTGGTATTGCCAATTTATTTGGTTTGAAAAATTGTGACATACAATAAATTTTGATGAATTTGATATTAGGTAAAAGAATAAACTCTTGATATTTAAGAGCCACTTCGCGCAAAAACCAGAAAAAANGTGATTTGCCCAGACTTATTATTATTTTTTTGTAAAGCTCATGCCTTGCTTAGTTATCACGCCGAATTTCATTGCAAACAAAATACTTGCACATAGAAAAAATAATCTTTTTTTCTAGGTGCTAATTTGCATATACAACTACATATGCAAACACTTAGAGTTCTAGAAAATTTTCTTTTTAATTAAATGCTCTGAAAATCAACGAAATAAATAAGAAAGAGTTACTTAGAAAGCCACAATTTAAATTTTTGAAATTACTATTTTACATTTCACACAAGCTCGGTAGAAAGTTTGGCTATTTCGAGTGCTATTTTTAGCCATCAAACATTTGTCACGCAAAGGCCCAGTATGTGACATTGTTTAGCGATTTTCTTGCGAAAAATGAAATATTTTCAAAAACCAATTACACAGCGATTGTTACCTAATCATACCTTATCAATATACAAAATATGAATAGATTTGATTTTTCGAGCCTTGCCAAGATATGTCTGATTTTTGCGCGAAGTGGCTCTTAACCTCTGTTTTTATCACCTTTGCTAGAGATTTCTTGAAATGGTGTTTATATTTTCCATTATTGGCAATTTTGGTAAAATGTCTTTATTTAGAGATAAAATTTGCCAGCATTTTGGTAAAGTTCTGCAATTCTTTATCTAATTTTACCAAAATACCTAAAAGAGAATATTGGTACTAAAAAAATTCCATGTTGTAAGTGCACTAGTCAATATATATAAAAAATAGATGAAAACATACATAAAGATAAGTTTTTAGTATAATTTCAGAAGTGAATATCATAATTCTAGCGCGCTGATTGGTCGAAATTGACGCTTCAATGAGCGATGTTCACCTATAGGTGAATATTGGATTTTTTCGCAAAATGGCGTCGTCCGCGAGTCGTTTTGTTGAAATGTCAGAGGAAGAAATTTCAGAATTAAAAGAAAATGCAATCCCCCAAAAAAAACACAACAGGCAACAAAATTTGGATTAAACCTTTTTACTGGTAGGTTTTGTTTACAAGCATTGTCTAAAACTACTTATGTATCGTTTTACGTCAAAACAGTCTGAAATTTGTAGGATTTCGCCGGGTTTGTTTACATTTTACTCGATACATTTTTTGACATCRACAGAATGGTTYCAACAGCAGTYAGAATTCACTGTCAGCTTTGAAGATATGGACACAACTCAATTAAACAAGTGTCTATCAAAGTTTTACGTTTCCATAAGGAAGAAAGATGGGAATTAATACAAGAAGACAACTTTGCTGTCGATCCGAGCGGCCCTCGACCGTCATCTTCAATCTCCTCCACATAACAAAAGATTCAGTATCTGTGACAACCACACGTTTAGCGAGGCGAATAAAACATTGAACTCATACCTCAAGCATCTTAGTGGCACTGGGAAAATAGCAGGTACAGTCCRCAAGAATCCATTGACAAGTGAAATAATCCAGACTCTCTACAACAAAGGTGAGCTTGTCGACTCGTCAACACGCGACCCGCGAGTTCTCCTTCAAACCGTTTGGTTTTTCATATCGTTGTTCTTTGGTAAGCGGGGTTGAGAAAACCAGGCAGAAATGAAAAAATCCATGCTTCGTCTACAGAAAAGCCACAATGGAGAAGAATACTTTGAACTGAATAGAAGCGAGCCCGGAACAGTTCTTATAAGCAAAAACCACACAGGCGGCCTTGAAGGGACGGAGGATCACTCCGACGGAAAGATATTTGCGCAACAAGGGTCTCGAGGAAGTCCTGTTGAAGTAATAAAGTGCTTCTAATCCCATCTCAATCCAGATATCAATGCTCTTTTCCAAAGGCCGAAGCAAAGTTCAACCAAGTTCAACCCAGAGAGCAACATGGTTTGGTTTGACGCTCGTAAACTTGGTCACAACATGCTGGAGAATATGCTTAAAAACATGACGATGGCGGCAGAAATTACACCATACCTGACAAACCATTCTCTCCGGGCTACTATTGTAACAGTCTTATCATCCAAGAATACACCTAATTGAAAAAACGTAGTCGTGTTCGAAAAGGTCACATCATAGAAGCTAAGACCGAAAGGGATTTTGAATTGGGATTATATTTGCATATCCGGTGTACACTAAGCAAGTAGAGCTAGTAAAATTAACAGCATGATAGTCTTTTATGCTGGAGAGCTGTTTGTTATGAAATTTGGCAAATTGTTTGTCTTCCCAAGTACCTTTTCGGTCTTAGCTTCTATGATTTGACCTTTTTGGACCCGACAACGTTTCTTCAATTAGGTGTATCGAGACCCGTAGAATAAAGGCAATAACTGGACACAGATCTGACACAAGCATCGAAAGCTACTGTAGCCGTCCAACCTTGAACCAGTTCAAAGAAATGTCAACAGTTCTAACGTCGGAATCGCCGCTCGGTAAATATTCATTGATAATCACTTCTCCTTCGGCGAATAATTGTTAATTAGTGTATGATTGTCAACTTCGCACGCGGCCGGAGGTAGGATTCGAAGTCACTCGATTCTATTTTGAGAACATAATCATTTCTTATTTAAGTGTCGAAGAAGCGCAAATGGTTAATTTATTCTTCATGATATGTCGACCTATGTTCCTATAGAATCTTTAGCCGTGATTTTGCACTACAACTTCTGACCCCTGGCAATTTTCATGGACACCTTTTTAACGATAATGTGGATATGGGATTATGATGTGAATATTCCCTGTTTGTATATTAACTAACTGCTCTACAACTACACAATTCTAAAACTCAGCTAGAGGTTGATTGTTTAGCAGTGCGCGCAGTACAAAAATGGACGTACTCAGCTCTCCCTCACCCTCTCCCCAAACAATTTCGTCAAATCTAATGACTGTATGAACAAAATAATTGAAATAATTGAAATATACAATTTATGCATGCCTTAGAATCCCCTTGCATAGACTTAGACTATAAATCCAGGCGCTGAAAATTGAATCCAGAAAAATTTGTTACGCCTTGAAATCACATATTTTTCATCCTTGCTTTCGGCAAGATTAACATTACTTTAAGCTATGAATTTTAACGGAATGTGCGTTTTAGATACCAGCGCATGTGTCAATGGACATTCACCTTTGTGGAAAACGCCACCGTAGATTGTTTGCAAAGCAAAAAAGGGATATCAAAAAGAAGTCTTGATTCATGGTACGTTTATTTATAGCGGAGCACCATAACTAAGGAAAAATGGTAAACCCATGAGGTTGAGTTTTGATCAACCGACACAGGAAGCCCATTTGTCCTTCCGTACGTACGTACGTACGTACGTCCGTGTACATCGCGATTCTGATTGGCTACTTTTGAGAAGGCGGGAAAAGGAAGCGCGCTCGCGTCAGTTTTTGAAAGCAGCTTTTTCACCACAACGACTCCATTTTTGTCCTTTCAAATACTTTACTTCTGCGCCAAATGTCGGAAAATCAACGGGTAGCTAACGGAAAGCGATCTTTATCTGAAGAAGAAAAGACAAGAAGAAGAGAAAGAGAGCGTCGAAGAAGTCTAAGTGAAGAACAACGCAGGCTTGAAAGGGAAAACGTGAGAGACGAAACAATTAAGTTTATTAAGACTCAAGCAAATCGAGAAACGAACGCCAAAGACAANTTCTCCGACGATACCGTGGCGTTATTAAACAAATGGCGGTATGTTAGATTATAATGTGCAAGCGGTTTTTGGTGCTCAAATTAAGTAAACTTAAGCTTATATCAATTCTTCTACTTCAAGAACCTTTGGCAGTTTTAATCTGGTTTAAATTTGCTTTTGAATTTGAAAATCTTCACCTGATACACTTCAAAACTTCTCAGTTAAATGAGCTTGTTGACAATGAAATTATGTGTGAATTGTGTACACGTTTCGTACACGTACATTCTATCCACAATAATAATCTTCTTTGACATAAAACTACTCGGATGTTTTAATTTATAAAACTATGCATTTTGAAAAGAGAGCCTTGATATTATTTGAATGTTCAGATTTTACTCTTTATTCTTCAATAAACTCTTTAATACAAACTGTCAACAAATACAGAGAGCAAAGATAAGCAAAGAATTTGAAGTGTTGAAAAATGGATAATCATTATGAACATTATGATTTCTTTGTTTACAAAACTGTCAAAATGTATTTATTACTTATCATTAATGATCACTGTATGTCAAAAATGTATTGATTAGTGTCATTCCTGTGTGATCAAATTACTATTACGTATGTTTCCTGTGTGATTGAAAAACCACCAAAACTGTCAAATTGCATAAACCCATAAATCATTTTTTTGGATCACTGTATGATTGAAAAATATCAACTGCCAAAATGCATTTATTATTATTTATCATTCCTGTGTGATTAAATAAAGGATATTACATGGGTGCATGGAAATATTGTGCTAACTCGTGGGATATATAAATTCAAAACTTGAAGATAAAATTGATATCTTCAAGCGACAGCTGTAATGTTCTGTCCATTAAATGACATTGGTGTAAGCAGAAGTCTGTAGTTACATAAACATTAGAAGATCAAAAAGTTTGAACATTTCAAGAATATGAATTTATGATTTCTGCATGATTAATGCCAAAACTTTCAAAATGCATTTATGTTATTTGATGATTCCTGTAAAGATTGAAAAATATCAACTATTAAGAATTTAAAACAACAAAATTGCAAACAATTTCTATTGACATGATGCATTTGTTATTATTTTTATTATTTCTGCATGATTGAAAAATTTCAAAACTGTCAAAATGCATTTGTTATTATTTCATGATTCCTTTAATGATTGAAAAATACCAAAACTGCCAAAATGCATTTAATATTATTTATAATTCCTGTATGATTGAAAAATGTCAAAGTTTCAAAATATATTAAGAATTAATATTAATTTATGATTTCTGTAAGATTACCTAAGGAAGTTTTATTTTGGTAAATAACCACAAGAATTCAAAATAAGTGGTTTTCTTTACATATAATTATATATATCACTGATTTGCATCAACAAAGCTGAAGAGAAAAAGTTTAATAATTATTTAATGTAGTGCCATGGATTTTTTTTGTTAGCAAAAATAAATCAGTCTTGACAAAACATGTACTAAAAATCTGACCAATGTGTCTTGCATCACATCTTCATCCAACATGCATATCGTTTGGGAGCTCCGCTATTAGGTTTTACCTAATTTTTATATTAGGGTCAGGAAAAACGCTCAGTTCAAAATTCAGTTCTTCATAAATAATTTAAGAAAAATGGTCACGTTATGGGGGCCGTACGCCTTTTCGCATAGGCTACCAAACTATTGCTCATGCTTGCATGAGAGAAAATGCGCATGCTTATATTATTTTATCGAGTCGGCGCGAGCTGCGGGTTACCTGTGGTATTACGTCATTAACCCTTGCCTCGCGGGATACAAACTATTCATATTTTTCGACTGAAATTGTTTAAAGTTTGACTTAACTGAATTTACCGTTTATTGTGTACGTTTTAGACTTATAGTAAGGGTACTTTACCTCAAACTATTCATAGTGCCGTCAAGTCAAATGCGTCATTCGCGCGCGCTGGATTAGCCAATGAGAACAGAGGACACGCAATGGCAGCCGTGTTGTCCCACAAAAAATGTAAACAAATTCGGAACGGTGGGCGAAGTTGATATGGTTTTGAGCTGTTGCTTGATTTTTTGAAACATGAATTATCATATGACCCGTATTTCGGCACTTACGCGCGCTTTAAAAAAACCTTCGGGAAATGGTCACGTGATGGGGGGCGTACGCCTTTTCGTGACAGGGCCGTACAAACCCGTATCTTCCCGGCTTGAAGTTCCGCTCGCTTTTATTGCTTTTTTATACATTAAAAACGCTGTCATATGATGAAATGCTTATTGACTTATTGGCTGCGCTCGTTCCATACGTCATAACCTCAAGCCAAATGTTTTCCCGTTCGGCCATCCCACTCAGTCAATAAGTACATACTATCTGTGTCTTCTTCTAATGAAATCCCGGTCCAGTGCTCACTGTCTGACTTTAAGCAATAATATCATCACAGAAAAAAAAGTCATTAACTCTTTCCTGTCCGCTATAAGAATTATCAGTACTACCGTACTGATGTTTCTAAAAATTGTAAGTKTCCGAGAGCGCAAATGAAGACAACCAAATGTACTCCATGTCAACAGCTAGTACCAAAAGTCTATCTTAGAGTTGAAAACATTTCACATCGGGCGCGATATCTGGGCAAAAAGGACCCCTGAAAAATAGGAATGCCTAAATTTCGACTTTTTGCTGCACCGGATAAGGATGAGAATCACGTCTCTTCGTCTTCGTTTTAGAGTCGAAATCATCTTTTGCAAATCGAAATTCCAGGTTTTTTGAAGTCGGCCACTCCACGTCTTTCGAATTTTGGCTTTTTTGTTTGGTAGAACTCTCCACAGATCTAGCCACAGGCCCCTTTTTGAGACCCAGCACAGAAAACACAGATTTCTCACTTGCGCGTTCGAACTGCATCATGGGAGTAAGGTTCAAACTTGACAGGGAGCACCCAACKGTCTTGTTTTCATAGATTTTTTTTAAGTGTCAAGCCACTCGCACCTAAAGGCAAAATATTGCACTAATTGCATTCTTTGGATGTTAAAACTTGCCAATTTTACCATGGTAGGTTCTGAAATCTGCCACAAAACGACTAGGGAGGCGACCTTTCTCGAGCGTCGGCAATTCAAAGCTAACTTCGTRTTGGCGACATTGTCTTCGAAAACTCSCTTCCCGCTTCTGATTTCTTCCAGAAGAGTGTCTCTGCCGCCTAGTCGAGCTTTATAATGCAGTCCTAGGGGCTTCTGTCGCAGCAAATGACTCGAAAAATCACTTAAAAACRGTTTTYGGGCGAATTTGAGAGCGAGTGCTGGCTAATTTAGCGAGCCGTCTCAAATTCGCCAGGCGTCGCTGAAGTAAACAAACCCAGAAGAATGTGAATCTACAATAGTTTGATTGACAACTCCTAATATGGGGTACATTTAATATTTTGAAATATCAGTCTCAAAAACAACCTAAATTCAGAAATAAATCACGGACAGGAATGAGTTAAGAGTCTGTTGGAATTGATCTAGGAGATTGTTTTTAGTGTGCAGTGACCAGCAGTCCTGGTTGCTAGGTATATTTCAGAAACTTTGTAGACACGAAAAATACCTTCTTTGGTTATAATCTTTCAATGCATGACTTATTTTACGAAACGTCAATACTATAGTGCACAAACTGAAGCATGCATTTTTGCATAATTAAGAAATGAAAATGTTGTGTAGTTTTGCGTTAAATTCTATTTTATATTTCTTATTCGCTCCACCGCTCAACTGAATATAAATCATTTATCATTTAAGTAACGATCCTTGTAAGAAGTAGGCACAAGTAATGCACGGAATGCCAAGCACGCGATTATACTAATTGGATATGTCAATAAAAAATCGGTGATGATTGGCTAGTAGCATAAAAACACCTAAAAATAGACCCACAAGGGCATTTTCCCGCGATTTTCCTTCATTAAATTGTTCCCAGTCCTTCTTTTTCCATTGTTTGTGCCAAAAGGCAGCCAATGTGTATGTGGGGAACTGGTACTTTTATATTCGATGCAAATCGACGGTGGGCGCCATCTTGGATTTTACCACTCGTGTGATTTCTAGTTGACTGATTTCTACGTTTCCTAAGCTGTTCGAACATGATAAACATATCTTATGCCCCATAAAGCTTCGTACTCAGTCTGATGAGGGGTCATTTAAGAATTTCGACGGAGAAAGAAAG